ACCTGCTCTTTTGTGGGTATCTGGCCTGTCGTTTTGTTTTTTGACTACGTTCGAAGGTTTGGGTACCCATGCAAAATTTGAACTCATTTTATCTCTCTACCGCTTCGTCGCAGATACTTGGTTCCCTGCACCCTCTTCCCTGTCATATTCCTGGGCTGGCAGCGGGGACAGCTCGAGATGATGTGGACGGGTGATTTTAAGACTGATGGGAAGGAGACGGACGAGAATGGAGGGATGGCGGACGAGGATAGAGGGATGGCGAACAAGGACGGGCCTGAGGAGGTCATCGAGGTTGAGATAGCTTAGTAGACGGGAGGTAGCATTGAGATTTAGAAATGTGAAACGTAGAAAAAGCTTGACTAGCTTTTGATTAAATAACGATAGAGCTCTTTGTTGCTATGGTTATCGGGGGGGGGGGGGGTTCAGGTTGGTATTTCATGTTTGTATATATTATAATACTCGAACTGAAGGATTTAAACAGATGATTTGAACAGTCAACTAATCGGCCTACCATGAAATGAAAATCGACTGACCTATAGTAATAAAAGATTCGCTAGATCTTTGGGCGCCAAAGGCAACGATGAATTGGTGTCACGGGATATTTGTAAATGTGTTTGGCTAGTAAACGTGTGTCTACCTTGCATAAAGTCTCTCTCCGCAACATTACACCCTCCCTGAAATCATTCTATTAGTTCTCCCTTGAGTGAATCGATTAAAATTTTACTTAATGAGCGTGGCAAATATGATTAGTACAAATAAAGAGCTTATTCTATGATATTTGAAAACTTTGGGAGAGCCCTATAATTATAATATGTGAGATGTATCTTTTTTTTTTTTTTTTTTTTTTTTTCGGGCAAGCTCTTACTCCATGCCAGTGATATCCGGCTTTTTCACGACATAGGAATCGAACGTCATGTAACACTGGTACCCCCCGCCCATCTCCTGCTCCGCTGCCGAGATCATCTCCTCGAGACTCTCTTCAGTTTGCCCGAGCACCACGCTCATCTGTGGTTTGCACGAACGGATCGTCGACATGACGTTCTGTTGGAAAATAGACAGTAAGTAAGCCGATGACAATTCCTGGGTGTGCCAAATGATAGCGAGCCTGCATCTCACCGTTTTGAAAGGTGGTCCAATCTTCTCGGGACCCCATCCGAGAGGAAGGTTGCGATGGTCGTGCTTGATATCCGTCAGGCCAAATTCCTTTAGTACCGACTTTAATTTCGAGGACATACAAGGGTCAATGCCGCGCATTCCTAGGGTGACAGAAACTGCGAGTCCGGTGGAGACGAATTACAATAATAAATCTACTATCAACCTCGGAAAAATGGTAAAACCAGGTGGAAGCTTTACTAACGCTGGTCCGAGAACTCCTTGGTAGACGGTCCAGCGTCGTGAATGTAGCAGTCGCTGTCCACTAGATTAAAACGGCAGTCAGCTGAATGAAGCCAACGGCACTCCAATCCACACCACAATCACAAACCCACGTACTCAGCTCGAGCGTCCCTCCTGGCTTGAGAACCCTCAGTAGCTCCGTGATGGCGCTGCGCCACCCCTCTTTCGTGAAACAGAATATGTGCAATCTTTGAAATACGAAATCAAAGTGGTTGTCGGGAAACGGTAAACCCTCGAGCGTGTTGGCGAGGAGGAACTGGCAATTGAGCGGGGTCAGCGTGTCTTTGAAGACATCAGCCACATCGATGCCTGTGAAATGTGATTTTGGGTATTCACGGGCCATATCCTACATGGTGTTGAAATGAGTAGGTAGCTTTCTCAATGCATAGTCTACATTATGCTATTTTCGTGGTCGCTCTGGAGCACTTACATTTGACCAAATACCCGTTCCACAACTATGAACAAAATAATAAAAAATAAAATAAAAAAAATAAAATAAAAAAAAAAAACTAACATGTTATTAGCCTTAGTATTGCTATTATCGTCGCTTAAAAGAAAGTGACATACCCAGCATCAAGAACTCTAATACCTCGCTGGAGTTTTTTAGTGAGTGGAGCTTGGTAATTCCTACTTAATAGATGGCTGGTGAGCAACCAAACTGCGCGGAACTGTATCTCTTAAAATAGACGGCGACTTCAAACACTTACCCTTGCCATACAAAGCTGTTTGGTTATAATCGTGTATATGATGGACAGATGCGAGATGAAATTGAGCGTAATAGGATAAATACTTTAAACACCACAATCAGCAACCCTAAAGATCGGGATTGCCTGCGGCAATGCAATGTGCATGTCCATAAATCATTCTAAAGAGGAAAAAAAAAAAAAAAAAAAAAAAAAAAAAACCGCCATACCGTAAAATGTAATGCTGTTTGTTTAACCGCGCGTATTCAAGTTCGTCCCCTGGGAGCATGTAGACGGGGCTTCCACTCTCTTTGAATCCGCGTCCATCAAGCCACTTGAATCCATGGTTCCGAGTTTGGGAATCATCAAAAGCGGAGGTGGAGGCGGGACTGTTGGGTGGGGTTTTGGACTTTGGAAAACAAGCCATATTTCCCAAATATGAGTTCGACTGGCCCATATGGTTGCGCGGTGGTGCGTCGAGTGGTCAGTACGTCGAGTGGCCGGTGTCGAGCTGTCAAGCAGTGATAATCTCAGATTAAATATAATTACGAATTTAGAATTTAAAAGAAAGTTCACGGCAATCTCCGGTGTGCGCACGTAACTAACCATTCCTGGCTTGTGCGAAACGTGATTGATCTCAGCGTTTTCATAGCCCAACCGATAAACATTGTTTACCATCTACCGACCAATCCTCAGCGGAACCAACAGTTCGCGATCGCAGACCATGCGCTTGTCCACATCAATCTTTCCCTGAAATCCGACACTACATTGTAGATTCCATCGAATACGAGAAGCCAGACTACGCCAGGGTCTCGCCGCCCTTGATCATAGATCTCCTCTGTCGCTGCCTTGTATCCAAGCAATGGCGCGATGCCGCGGTCCCCGTCCTCTCCAAGGTCTTCAGGAGTTGGGATCCAGAGGATTTTAGTGAAGAAGAAATGCAGACGCTCGTGCAACGTGTCTCCCAGGTCATTGCAGTATCACCCGACGCTCTCATGTGTTGTGAAGACTTCCTATTATCCGTGGTCGTGCCACTGAGGACTGAACACGTACTCTACAACAACTCGGAGGACGCTGTTGTCGATATGGTACGGATTCTACCAGGAGTGAGAAGCATTTCCGTTCAGCTGGAAGAAGCTCATTGGATGGCTGAACAACCCTTCATCGAGCACAGAAAACGGGTTCGCGAATTTTTGGCAAGAATCCAAGATGCCTTACACGGAAAAATTATCTTCCTGGAGGCCAGAGGCCGGACGATGAGCTACTGTCCATGTTTGAGCCTATTTTTATGGCGATGTCAGAATTGAGGGAGGTGAAGCTGTTGGACGATTTTGAAGTAGATGATGTTATGCATGCAATCAGCAAAACATCTCCTCATATTGAGGTGCTCGACCTCCTTTTGGACACCGACAACGCGATATACTTGAGCCATTTGTAGAAGCGTGGCGAGAGCTCAAGGCGTTGAAATTCTGCCACCGAGGATCGGATCGTGATCATGTGACCTCCGATTTACTGAATAGTCTGGGAAACCATTGCCACGAGCTGGAAGAGTAAAGGAAGAAGACAGCGACGACGATGAAGCTCTCGATGTTCCGAGGATCCCGCTCTCTGGGAGGGTTCGCTCATCCGCATGATAAAGTCTTGCACAAAGCTCCACAAGCTCGATCTCACACTCCGTCCTATCAATGATGCCTCGCTCGCCATCCTCGTCACCCAGACACCATCGCTTGAGTACCTTGTCCTCCGTGGCTGCCTCGCACTGACAGGCAAACTGCTCCTCGCAACTGATACAACTCTCTGCATTCGAATCAACCTCCCCATTTTACGATTTCTCGATCTCCGTGGCTGCCACGAACTCGAGCCAGCTGCCATCCAACTCCTGGTCACCCAGTCTCGAGGTCCTGAAGCTTCCTTCTTCCCTTAAGCAGCATGGCGGCCTCGCGGCATATTTTGAATGCACCCTGGGCCTCGTCCAAGACAAAGACGAGGAGGCCTATATCCGCACTCAGCGGTGGGTGAAGCCACACGTGGCTGAGGAACGGAAGAGACTCGCTGAGGAAGCGGAGCGGGAGAAGAGTCGAAGAGTTCTCGACGATTGGGGCCAGCAATTCGTGGGGCTAATGGCTGCAGTCGAGCAGTTCGAAACGAGAGGGTGGCATTTATTTGATTGAAAGGTCGAGGTATACGCGGTTGAATGGTTGCATGTCGAGGAGTCCTGGATTCTACCCAAACGACCGGAAGAATTTCAAATTCTCAAATATTTTAAGCATTAGTAATTAGGAACCTCTTGTCATGATCCATCGAACCGATTTTTTTTTTCTTTCTTTTTTTTTTTTTTTTTTTTTTTTTTTTTTCTTTCCAAATCCTTTAGTATAAATTTTTAAAATCCGCACTTAAATTTTAGTATTCAATATCCCCTTCGTTTTGAATAAAGTTGTGATGATTCCATCTTGTCCAGAAATAGCCAAGTGAGCTTCTTAGTGTGCTGCCCGTACAATGTTCTCATATACGTATATTTGATCGACTTAGTATCTCAGTTCTAAGATTCGCTTATACAAGTACACTCATTATAACTAATTGTATTGGTTACTGTAAGCTGGTACACTTACCCATTTGAGTGATTATTCTTGAAGACGGACCAATTTTTTTTTTTATCAAGGTATCATATATCTGAATACCTTATAATGATATAACTGGTATAAGAGTGCTGATATATTAATTAATTTATGTAGGCGATTATTTACGAGTTTTTTTTTTTGGAATAAAATAGCTATAAAAAAATGGTCCGCCTTCGAAAATAATCACCCATTTCCTTAAAAATGGTACGCGGCTACATAAATGAATCAGACTGTGATGAGAAAGATGCCCACGTGATAAAAGTATTTATGATAGCATATTATTGGCCATCTAACGAATGCTCATGCGAGCGTGTCCGAGTTGGTTTAAGGAGTTCGACTTAAGTTCGAATGTCGTAAGACGCGTGGGTTCGAATCCCATCGCTCGCATTTTTTAAATTCTTCCCATTTTCATTTTGGCATGTCTGATTTTTACCGTTCACCTCTACCATACTTATAAACAATTTTTTTTGGTGGACTTCCAGATATGTTTATGGCACTTGTACATTTATTAGTTTATTAGGCAGGAATGACCTGTTTCCAACCAGACTGGGCTTTTTTTTTTTGTTCGCTCTTGTCACGTGGCCAATGACGTGTTCTCTGAATTATCGCGGGACGTCATCAGTGCTTATACGTAAGCCTTTGAGAATGCGTCAACCGCACAACCGCAACTGTTAGCCCGTTAGCCTTCACTCCGCAAGAAACTTTCCAAAATGGCGAGACGTTACGATGCTAGAACTACCATTTTCTCCCCTGAGGGGCGTCTATATCAGGTTGAGTACGCCATGGAAGCCATCTCCCTCGCCGGCATTGCTCTCGGTGTCCTCGCCACTGATGGTGTGATCGTTGCCGCTGAGAAGAAGGTCACCTCCAAATTGCTGGAGCAGACCGCAAGCTCGGAAAAGATCTACTTATTGAATGAGTGAGTAGAGAAAATAATTTCTGTCGGGTCTGGTTTGGATAGCGGACAAAATTGGCAAAACGGACATTGTACCGGTCGAGACAGGCAACGATGCTAAAAACATGTCAGTTTGTTTGAACGCGTGACCAAATGTGGTCGCTCAACTCATGCTATCTTTGGAGGCATTTATTGAAATTGGTATTTTACGAGTTTGGACCGATGGCTGTTGGGCGTCTCAACCACGCGTTATTACTTTGGAAAATTTATACGATATCTTTTCTGATCTTTCGGCTTCTTGTCCCCCAGGAATATGATCTGCGGCGTTGCGGGCATCACCGCTGACGCCAACATTCTTATTGACTGGGCTCGCAGGTCCGCACAACAGCATCTCTTCTCCTATGACGAGTTAATTCCCTGTGAACAGCTTGTCCAGCGGCTTTGCGATCTCAAGCAGGGCTATACGCAGTACGGTGGCTTGCGGCCCTTTGGCGTCTCGTTCATCTATGCCGGATGGGATGCGCATCATGGATTCCAGCTCTACCACTCGGACCCGTCCGGTAATTATGGGGGGTGGAAGGCGACGTGCATTGGCGCCAACAATGCGTCTGCACAGTCCATCCTGAAGCAAGATTATAAGGACGATATCAACCTGAAGGAAGCGGCAGGTCTGGCAGTCAAAGTGTTGAGCAAGACGATGGATAGCACGACGTTAACGAGCGAGAAGTGTAAGTTTTGTTTACTTTGGCTTGGGGAATAGGCGGGTGTACATTACTCATATTTAATTACGCATACCCATTTGAATTTCGTTGGCATCACCACATTTGTTTATAGTGGAGTTTGCCACGATCAAACTCGTTAATGGCAAGGTCGTCTATCATCTCTACAAACCCGCCGAGATCGATGCGCTGTTGAAAGAGCACCAGGTCGGTGGGGTAACCGAGGAGGATAAATAGAGGGGATGTGATGCGGGTGTCGATGGTGGGCTTTGTCAAGGGATGTTCTAGTGTAGGGTTCGTTGTAAGAGGGATGTTTTATATGGGAGACGGAAAGAATTTTGTGAAGAGAATGGCTGTCTTCGTTGTATTTCCTTTGTTGTAAAATGGTACATACTACTCTTCCCAATGATTCAATCTTTTTGTCCTGTGAGTGTCTGCTGATACTTTATCGTCGTTACTCCAGTATCGTGTATTGGAAAGGATCGCTCAATGTTACTTTGTGGTAATATTCTTAAATTTACAAATGCATCAGCATAGTTCAACGTCTTTCGTCTCTCTCTCTTTTTTTTTTTTTTTTTTTTTTTTTTTTTTTTTTTTCCCAATGACGATTGGGCGTTTAAAGCACGTTTTTCCTATTACTATTTGAATCCACTCTCAAAGGTAACCACGAAGAGACTAGTTGCTTATTATATATTTTTATTTGCAATGGTTTTACATGTCTGTGTGAGATAGGAGCTACCAGCGGACGAGCCCTCCGAGGATTCAGTCAATGCAGCACAAGAGCTATCCCAGAGGCTCACCGAACAAACCATACACTGCATTTAAAGTACCGAAAGGTCACCGCCTATATTACCAAATTATCCGCCTCCTTAACTGGTTCCGCTGGTTCTTGAACCGTCTCTTGAGCCGTCATTGGAACTGTATCTGTATCCACCTCCTGGTTTCTTACCCACTCTTTCACACCCTCTGCCGCTAAATTATCGCCCATCATTCCCTCCAACGCCTCCTGCAACTTTTCCATACGCATTTTCACAATCTTCCTCTCTTTATACCCAACGTCGGCCTGCAGCTCCTCCAACGTAGGACTGTACGACACGTTCGGAGCCGCTATAAATTCGTCCAACTTAGCATCGAGATTTTCATACGTGACAAAGTCCTTCGATGAGTGGTAGAGCCTCATTAAGAGCGAGAGCCGTTCGTCCGACTTGGCCTGCTCTCGGCTACGCAGGACACTCGGGCGTAACTGTGTCATAATAACTTCGGACTCGGTTTCGTTCTTGGTTTCGTCCTTAGCCTTGGCGGTAGCAACCATAATCTCGGCCTCGGCCAGAGTCTCGGCCGCGGTCTCGACTTTCCCGAGTCCAAGGTTCAATAATACTGACGCCTCGTGCAAGATGGCCTTCTCTTTGGCTTCGGCGTCAATAGCACGTTGTTTCTGCATTTTTAAGGTAGCTTCCTTCTGTTTTCTCTCGGAGACAATCTTGCGCTTCTCCTGCTTCTGCAGGAGCTCCTGCACGTAATTGAACCGGCGCTGATGCATCTCCTCGCGGAAGCGGCGCATGACATCGTTTCCAGATATTTTGGGCGCGGTGGCCGCAGCGGTTACGACCGTCTTGGCGGTTACGGTATTGGAAATCGTGGCGTCGGGTTTGGACAGAAGCTCCTGTGTGTTCCCTGTTGAGGGATCCTTGGGCTTTGATTTTTGGGGGGGAGGTTCAAAGCCAGGAGCGTAGCCTCTTTTACCGGGAATGTAATCACTAGTGGCAGTAATGTATGTAGCGCGAGGGATTATTTTGGAGAGAATTGGCCGAGGTCTGGATAGAACACGAGCCAAGGAAGCCATGATGGCTGTAATAAATCGATCCCAAGTTACCCTACGTCCAAATTATTGTTTACTGTTCATCGGTCATGTGACGGGACTGCTATAGTGCTATATAAGGGAGAGTGGTTATTAATGAAATAGACTTATATACAAGAAATAAGCTATAATAGAAAGGAAGAACTACAATCTTTCCTACAATTACTAAAAGCATGGTTTTTTTTTAAAGTAGGGCCAGTTACGCTAGAATATTTTCTTTATTTCTAATAGCCTCTTTCATCAGGAACCTATTTTCAGTTCATAGTCTATGACTAGCATCTGTGCTCATAGGCTGTTCGCAGGCTGTTCACAGGCTGTTCTAGCCAGTTCATGGTTTGTGATATTGTTCTAGTGGAGTTCTAGGGTAGTTTGTAGCTGTTCACAACTGTTCACCAATAATAGTTTATAGTCTATAACTAGTATCTATATTTATAGCTATTTTGTTCATAGCTCTTAGTAAAATAGTTTGCAGCTCTTAGTAAAATAGTTCATAGATTAATTAACCATTTTTCTGATGAATATCTTTGATAACAGTAAGAATTTTGATAATAATAATAATTCTAATAATAGAGATAGTATAATAGTCGACTCTAAATTTACCTGATTTCTGAGAATTTGCTACTATGCTTAATTTAAAGTTATTGTTACCTTCCATTTATAGTTATTTCTATATATTTTAGCTCTATAGTACTCTTGGTATTGTGATAAACTTTATATTATTATAATAAACTTTTTAGTAGTAAGATATTACTACCAGTATTATTATATAATTTATAATAATTAAATTATATTTTTGTAGTAAAGTCTTTTATAGTTATCTTTAGTTTATTAATTTTATATAAATATTCTCTCTATTTCTATTCAAATAAATCAGTTTGTTCAGAGTCTTGAAATATTTCAATATCAATTATAGTAAAGCCTAAATAAGTAGAGTAAGTGGCTGTTAGTAAGAATATGTAACTAGAGATATCATATCTATCATTCTGAGTATTCTTAATGCACATATATAAAACAACCAATTATTGATATATTTTATTAGGAAACTATTTTCAGTTTATAGTCTATGACTAGCATCTGTACTTATAAGCTGTTTATAGGCTGTTTATAAGCTGTTTATAGGCTGTTCTAGCTAGTTTGTAGTTTGCAATATTGTTCTAGAGGTATTTAAGATTTGCAATATTATTCTAGTAGAGTTCTAGGGTAGTTTGCAGCTGTTTACTAATAATAGTTCATAATCTATGACTAGTATCTATGTCTATAGCTATTTTGTTTGTAACTCTTAGTAAAATAGTTTGCAGCTCTTAGTAAAATAATTTATAAATTAATTAACTATTTTTCTAATATTGTTATATCTTGGTGCTAACTAGCAAGAGAGTTATTGAAAAACTAACTCTTATATTCTTATTCAAGTAAGACTAAACTACTTCTTCAAGCAATGATAGCATACTTATAATAAAAGATAGCATTATTCAAGACAGATCACTGAGGGATACCTCTGCTTTTTATATAAAGAAGATCATCAAACAGCTTCAGTTCTAAAGAAGAAGAATTTATTATATCAGACCTATCTAATAATAATTATAGCAAGATAAGAGAATCTATTACCTTTCTTATAATATAATAGATTATTATCAGATAAAGAATCATCTATTAATTTCAACCTATAAGCATTATTCTATAAAATATCTGATGAGAAATCAGATAATAAACTAGAAATCAATATACAAAATAACAGAAAGATTACCAATCTTTATTGGTTATATACTAGCCAAATCAGTAATCAAGTTTATTGAAAACTTATAGATTTATAATATAATCTGATAGTTTACTAATATTGTAAAAGTAAACATCTTAGAAGCAGTTTTATAAGGATCTGTCAAGATTACATATAATGCTACAGTAGTTACTATAGCTA